AAAAAAAGAGTCCCAACCACTTATATGGAATATTTACACATCAAATACAAAGTTTGGTAAAAATCATTTGAATATTTACAACGTTATGAAAATCTATTTACTTCTTTAAATGAATTTGGATTTAATCTGATTTTGAGCTTGAAGACTTGAAAATAATTAATGGTCGAAGCTCAGGCTCCTCTGATGCTTAAACTAATGGTGTTCGCATGATTTTGACTTCAATGCCTTTTTTTAAAACTAATTTTAATGCATAATTTTAAAAATATTAGTTAGAATATACTTCCTCTGTTTACACCTAAAATAAACCAATATGGTAAGACCACATGTCAAGGTAAAGCCCAGTTATCAAGAAAATCAATAGGCTGGATTTGGGCTGGGCTAGCTTACAATTTAACGGCCCAGACGAATTTCCAAGGAGGTTGAATCGTAGGTGGCAGAAGATAAGATTGGATCTGGTAGTTTGAGTTTGATTTAAAATGAGAAATTGAGGATTTTTAGGTAGTTATCTTTAAGGTTAAATAAAAATCGGATAACTATTAAACAACTGCCAGACCTGCAACCCCACTACTAGATCATGGAGGAACAGTACCAAAGATCATGGAGGAAGTTACCAGCACCAAAGAAAATAAATACAGAGAGAAGAGAACAGTTTTGGGGTCTGCCCAGCACACACACAAACTGCCCAGAGCATGTTTTTCAGCTTTCAGACCGCATTTTCCAGATTTTAGTTCCAGATTTTAGCAATAGTTTCCAGATTTTCCAGATTAGTTCATAGCCTTAGCCTAGGTTTGTTCATCTTTGTTCATATTTTCTTCTGCAAATCCCAATTTAAATTAGTTTTTAAACATTTGGAAGCAACTTAGCCTTCAAAACAGGTCTGCCCTTTTGATTCAGTTAGTTCTTCTTCCTTTTATGGATTTAGTTATGTTATTCGTTCATGTAAATAGGATGAAAGTTGTCTACCTTTTTTTTTTTTTTTTTTTTTTTTTTTTTTTTAATATTAATAGTTATTATAAATAAAAATTATTATTTATTTAATCAATTATTTAATTAAAATAATTTACGTGACATTAATATTAAAAATAATATTTATTTATATATTTTACTAAATAAATTTATTAAAAAAATACAATTAATACATCTTAGAAACAAGTTAAAAAAATCTTTATTGAATATGGCAAAAGTAACTTCATTTCTCTGTAATATGAGAATATTTACTGACATATATATTCAAGTGTGTTAAATTGTGTAATTATTAAACTTATTAAAAAATTTACATACATCATTTACATTAAAATATTTTTATTTATCTCTTAGAAGCTGTTTCAATGATTAAAAGCTTGGCTTTCAATATTGGCAATTTTAAGTTCAAATAAAATTTTTTATCCAAAAATTAATTTTTTATAATATTAATTAAAATATAATATTTTCAAAGATATCCTCCATAGAAGAAATATTGTAAAACACTTTTTCCTTTATTTGAATACCTCTATTTTTTATGGTAATTGAATACTAACTGTTACATTCTCTCTCTCCCAAAATAATTGTCATTTTATTGACTTTAAATTCATTCTAAATTAATTTTTATTTTTTTATTTTTTTAAGATAGACAAGCATTTTTTTTATTTTAACCCTATCATTACTTATTCACTTTCATTAATTATTCAATCACAAAAATTTTTCTTTATCTTTTATTTTTT